TTTTGCACTATTAGCTAGCTAGCTAGCGATGTACTGTTCTCTCATAGTAAACTGAAAAGGAAAACTGTAAATATTAAAATATTTTCAGAAAGAAAAGTGGTAAAAAGAATTGACTTTTATTAATGTTTTCAAAGCTAATAAGTATATGTACAATATATGCGTAATTCTCAAGTTATAAATTTGCTAATGCTAAAAATTGAAGAATTTTCTGTATGGTTTATTTTACACTCATGTCCATAAATTAAGGATAATTCGGAGTCACACGGAAATCGAACTCTAAAATAAATATATCACCTGTAAAATCACTACACACATCTTCAAGAATCATATGCAAGTTTCAGGAAGTAACCAGATGACACCGAGGGTACGTCACAATGACGAGAGTGTAAGAGAGTGATATATAAGGAATACAGGCAAAGAAGTAAAATTGTTCGCAGGCGCTTTATAAGCATTTCAGTGCAATAACCGAATAGTTATGACACAAAAGACGCATTTGGATGATGTCCGTCAACCTCCTCCTACATGTCTACCGGAACTTCGGAGAGCATTGCTTTTTGAGTGGTGTAATATCCCCGAAGATCAGATCGATAATTTGATGCTGAGCATGCCTAGGCGTTGTACGGACTGTATTGCATCGTATGGGAGACATACAATGTATTAACAATCATACCAACCATGTAATATTGATTTTTTGTAAATAGGGTTTTTTTTGTAATTTGCTCCAGGAAGAAAAAATAGCTCATTTTTTTAATAATATCAAAAATATAGCATCTTTTTTTGCTCTTTACCTTTTGTTTAATAAATAAGCTTTACAAATAAGTCAAATTTGTTTTGCTTCTAACTCTTCCTTTGCCTGATTTTGCATTATCCTTAATTTATGGACATGAGTGTAGTTTCAAATGGTTTATCCTTAAAAAATATTTTGAACAACTGAAAATTCAAGTTTAAAACATTTGCAGAAGCTTGTTCCTGAAAATACTTAGGACTCTATACAGACATATATAAAAATAATATATTTAATGAAAAAAGTCAAAAATTTTTGCCTGATTTATGGTAGCACTTGAAGTTTGCTTTAAGATGGATGTTTTCGTTAAAGGTTTTTTTTAAGGAAAGATGGTTCATATTCACTTTGTATATGAATAAAAAGAAACAACGAAGACAGTCTATTCAATCACCAGGAATTGAGCTTAGGATAAAATACATAAATTGTTTCGGCTGTAGCATTCTACCACATGTAGTCTACCTAATAGTTAAAACTTGAATAAAAATATAGAAATCCAAACAACTGCTTTGTTTCAGGTCAATACATATGAAAGATAAAAAATATGAAAGCCAATTACTAATTTTAGTTTTGCAATAGCTCCTTTATTCTTAATTTTAGTTTGGGTACTTCCGCTTCCTGTCCCAGGGAATAGTAACTATTCTTAATTCATTCTAAACTGCGTTATTTCAAAATTAGTCCACGTCATTAAGTGTTAATAAATTTTGCTTGCGGGAAACAGTTTTCTTTTAAAAAGGATGCTTCTGCTTGCGGGAAACTGAAAATTTCTATTTATCAAGTCAGAATATTTGAAATTCCGTTGTAGCATCAAATCATTCTTAATACTTAAATTCAGCTTGTAGAGACATTAGGTTAATTGGAAGCAGAAAAGATGAAAAACATGCAACCGCCTTCGCCGGGAATCGAACCACGGACCTCTGAAATACCAACCCACGTGCAGAACCACTACACCACGAAGGACGGTTGTAAAGTGGGATAAATACCTTATATACTCCCCTTTTTAAAGGGCGACTAGGGTTTTAGGGGACCTAGTCGCCAAATCCTGGGTGTGGAGAATCATCATCCACAACCCTTTTAGTTCGGGCGCCACTGTAGAGATATTAGGTTAATTGGAAGCAGAAAAGATGAAAAATATGCAACCGCCTTCGCCGGAATCGAACCACGGATCTCTGGAATACCGGGCCAGTGTACAGAACCACTACACCACGAAGGACGCTTGGAAAGTGGGAGAAATACCTTATAAGCTGTCATGGTCTACATTTAATAAAAATATCGTCAGGAGTTCTTTTAGGCTGCTACCTTGTTGCTGTAATAGAAGTTTGTTTGAGGCTGTGATACAGACTTAGAAGTTACTTACTTTTCGCACTATTTTGAAGTTTTTATCTTTCATATTGTCTATATTGTCTTCATATGTCTTTATCAACGCTTTAAACGTAACGTAATCTCGAAATGTTTTGTAACAGAATATCGAACAACGTCGGTTCTGTTTTTTAATATTGTTTGCGTAACTTTTTAAACAGAATATTATAAATATGTTATGTACAAAGATATTAATTATTAATATTATATACAAAAGATAATGTTATTCATAACGGTTACTGCAGTAAAACCTCTCGTAGGCGGCACCCAGTTAACCGGCAATATAAAAAATGCTATTTTAGAAGAAATCCGAAATTTAGACCTCTGAGAAGTATCTAATGGATTAAGAAACTGAAATGTTAAAACCATTTGCGTCATGTTTCTGCCGCCAAGCGTAACAATCGTTATCTCGCCAATGAACCAAAAAATTATCTGGAATACAAAGATGAACTGGGATCTCTCTTATGCTTAGACATGTAAATTTTGAAGATTATATCTATGATTTTCAGAAACAATTTATATTGAAAGACCACGTTTAGTTTATCTCTTACGTAAGAAAACCGTAAACTGTTGCCGTAAACAAACGTAACTGTGATCAAAAGATACATATGATCATAGTGACCTGCGTTAGTAGATAACGATACCAGTGCGAAGATTCTGTTGGCATTAGAACACGTCCGGCACTCGTGGCCGACATCTTGGACGTGGTTACATGTTCAGAAAAAGCTGATATTAATTACGAGAGCAAGAATGAGAATGCAAGCTTGAATAGATGTAGCAAGTTCTGTTCCTTTACACTGCCTCAAGATGATAACGAAATAATCGGACATGTACTATGAGAGGAGACAGATGATGATCAGGAGGAAAAGTATAAAGATGATGACGACCTGCGGAGTAAGACTTTTTTGTCGGACGAAGCTGATGAAGGATTGCAGACTTTCATAGGATTTTTCAGAGGAATATTCATTTATGCCTGTTACGAAGCTTCACTGTATATACAGCAAATTTTTAAAACTGCGGTGACAATCTTGTCAGCAGGCAGACATACGAAATAATATACTAGCATACAAAAAAATTCGTAATTTTCATACAATAATATGCGTGGTAATTTAAAAATGTTTTCCCTTTCTGAAATGTAAAATCATGTGTTTGTTTTTTAATTTTAAATAATCTGTACGATAATATTATTTATTTAATTGTAGCCGATAGTTTAAAAAACATGGCCAACGGACTTTGCATGCTGTGGTTTTTACACGTGAAATCACAGAACATAAACAAATAAGTTCTAGAAATATATATGCAAATATTCAGAAAAAAATCTCTTATCCGGAATCGGCGAGGTACCTTTGCTGTCGGTTAAGAAAGATTTCGGTTAAAAAAATGTAACGCTAATGTAATAAATTAAAGAATTGTCTCTTACGCTAGAATATATTATGAAATATTAAGATTTAAGAATCCAGGTTAGTTTTATAATGTCTTTGCATCTATAATAAAATGTGATTTCCACCATTATTGTTATCGACATCTGATATGTTGCCGTTCAGATTTTTGAAAAGATTCCTTAAAAACCGTAACGAAATTGGGTAAAATGCACTTATCACCACTAGATGTGGGAAAGAATAAGGTTGTTGTTTATTCAATTATGGTAAAGTACACAATAGCTCTCTGCCTAATTTTAAAGTTGCTTTCATGAAAGATTTTCTATGAAAAGGTAGCTCATATTCTCGTTGCAGAGTAAATTATGATAATGCTCGTGCAACCAGCCTATTCACTGGGTTCAACTCTATATCGAACTGCTATTTTTCAGTGACCTTATCCATTTCGCCACTGGCAGGCTGCAGAAAAAAAAGGAAAAGGAAAAGCATCAAGGAAAAAATTCACAGATAATATAAAATAGCAGATGGAAATTAGAACAACGACAGTTAACAGAATATATGAATTCGGGAGCAAGTCAAATTACTCAACTTAGTAGAAAATTTTTATTAATTTTTGAATTATTTCAATAGACAAAAGAAATGAAAAGAAAGAAAAAAAAAGATGGGGGGGGATTATAGCATAACCAGGGAAACAACAATGTTTATTTTTTGTCAATATATACCTTTCGCACGTAAAACTTGTATTAAATTACGAAGCTTTCTTAATTTGATCAGTTTTTGGTTAACTTGACTGCTAACAGACTGAGTTAAGAAGTATTCAAATCTGAACAATTTAAATACAGAATCATGAATTTTATAACTGTAAGAAAATACCAAATGAAGGAAAATTTTAAAAATTCGTCAATTTTGAAAAAACAAATGGCAAATAAATTAAAATTGTTTTATTTTAATTGGGAAATATCATCTGCTATGGTAACTGAAACATTTTTTAATGTTTTATCAATAATAAAAGTAAGACAAACCTCAGTTAATCGTAATAGCTTCTGTTCCGGTGCATCCGGAACAGAACAACTCTGATGCGCTTTTTGGCGTTATTTGAAAGAACATTAAGTATCGAACATCGGACTCAAAAAAGACTACATCCAAACGGCAGCTATAATGCTGTCCGTTTTTCATCATATTTGTTTTATTACATCCAAAACATTGTATATATTTTGTGCAACTACTTATATATTGTGTGTAACTACTTAATAGAAGTTTTATGTTTAAAAAGGAGGATTTTTATTCACTTAATTCACACTACATCACAATAGCTTTTAAGTAATTGAATTCCTGAATAAAAACGACTTTAAAGCGCAAATACTGAGTGTATGTGAATTAAAATTTCAGTCCGTAAAGCTTCGTGTCATCTTATATCTATTAAATACATTAATTATTAAATATGTAGACAGATCACACTGCAAAATTTTGTCTTTAGAGCTTACCTTTTTAGTTTCAGTCATATAATAATCCTTTCCAAAAGGAGTATCAATCACTTCCTCCTCCTTCGCGTTAGTTGCATCTGTTGTAGATGAGTCAATCGGTGTCTGCATAGATACAGTGGCCTCACTTTCAGTTGTGACTGATGGCTTTCCACCACTCCAGCTGAAAGATATGCCTTTATGCATGGAAGTTGAATAACTGTAAACATCCGTTCTTAGATCGCGTTCCATCTTCTTAAGCTCTCTAATAGACTGTGACAAAAGTAAAAAGACAAAGTATAAATATTAGTAACTCCTGATAAATAAAAGTTTGTCTATCATATAGTAAATATATTATCAAATTATTTATGAAATAGGGTTTCGTAGCTTTACCTACCGGATATTACTTAGGCAATAATGGGTAAGAATGCTCATATGCCAATAGTATAAGATTATAATCAACTAAAACGTCGCTAAAAATGTTATGATGGGAAATACCTTAGAATAAGATAGATCTATATATTAAAACAATTCAGTGGTCCGTAGGTTAGAAAAACTGAGTACTAGAATTATTCACTTATCATGAAATTAGAATTATACTAAATGTTTAAAGTATTTCAAATTTAATCAGCATTATACCATACCGTTATACCAAAGACACGAATCTTCAATTTTTGCTATTTTACATTTAAATGTATTTTCTAATCTATTTTCCAGTGTTGTACTCTATGTTAAAAAAAAGTGACGCACTTGAATGATACACTGAAATTAATACGAAAAAATTACTCTATAAAAAATTTTCTGCAAGTTTTCGAAAATTTTCATCTTTAAGCATTTTTTCCCAAAACAATAATTTTGTAAATATGCTTGAGAGATTTACCCTTTTGAATGATTCTATTTTAATAAAATTATAATACACCCGCAGTTAATGTAGGACATTTCCGCAAGGACTAATCTAACTAGGACAACTTCTTCAAACTCGAACGATTCCCTGAGTCGGAGCTAAATCTGTCCCTTCGGATATATTTATTATATCAAGGAGGGGCGAGCTTCTCTTCTATCTACGAAAGTAGGTTAAAATATCAAATATCCTGTATGGTATTTTTGATCAGTTGTTTACATTTGAAAGCTACATTTTTCGATAGTTATTTTAGTTGCGAACTGCCTGTTAAGAATTTTCTGGCGTAAAAGCGTGGTAATACCTTTTTCTTATTTGATATAAAAATAAGAAAAAAATGCGTGCGTGTTCAGTAAATTATCATTATTGAAGGAAGATTTGACAATGCTTTCTTCACTACCTGAGGGGGTGTAAAGTAGTTTAATCCGTTTCTGTTACTAGCACACTGCGAAATGTTAACGATATTTGATGGACTGGAGTAATATTTCTTATTTTGGAGTAATATTTCAGTATTAAATTTTACTGAATAAAATTTTTATCCAGCGAGGGAAGATAATATTAATTTTCTTTAAAATGAATATATATCTACTTTTAAAGAAACTGTTCATACTAAACTTGAGTAGAAAGTAAAATCCACAAGTTCCTACAATAAAAAACTGTACTGGTAAAGCTTCTATTATTAACATAAAATTCAAAATCTGGGCTTTTGTTAAGAATTTACTTTTATTTCCTATTGTTTTTTTATCTAACTATTTTTTAATTAGACCTAAAATATCAAAAGATTCAAAAACATCTAATTTTTAGTAACTAATATAGTTTTATTTAATTATTCCTTATTTTAGAACAAAATATACTTGCTACTTAAACTGTGGGTACTAGTAATGTAAATTTAAATTATAAGCAAATGAAACGTGAGTGAAACGTCATGAGTGTGTATTATTTATTTATTATACCTACTGCCGCATCGATTATATATTTTATTTGCAAGTAGGCGGAGGGTAGGTTTGTAAACAGACATCTTGAATTTCAGCGCTGCTCTCAAAAAAAAAATTGGATAGACCATATAGTCAGTCATATAGTGTAAATCGAATTACAGAAGTGTCGGCCCTTCCCAGAACATATTGTAGAAGGCTCCTTCTTTTATTTTATTTTCTCTTTACACAGGAGATATCGCTGATGTAAACTACATAAAATACTTGATGAAATAATCTAAAAATTCAATACTTTTTTCTTTTTCAAAAATTATTTAAGCTAAGAACAAAATATTTTCCTTTTTTGTATGTTTTGTTTTTATTTCAATATATTATCTGTTGTAGAAATATTAAGCATATATATTTTAAGCCAGTTTTTTGTGAAAGATTAGGTTAAATTAATTGATTAAAGGCAAACTGGACAAGGATAGTGGAGAAAAGTGATGAAAAAATTCGGAAAATGAGAGAATTCTGAAAGTTTTTCTTTTTTCTCTAATTTTATAAGACCTGGAGTTAAAAAATTAGGAAAACTTTCATATTTTTTAAATACTAAGTGAAAGTCCCCATGAAAGAGGTCTTCTCGAAGCAAATGCCTGTCTACGCTTGGCTACATCAAACTCTGAGTGCATTTAAAAGTATTTGCAATGGCCACGGAGACGGGGAAACACAAATTGCTACACAGCGAAATCAAAGCAATGCAGTGTTCTTAAAGTCCGACAACAAGCTTTCTGCTAATGTAGCTTTAACGGTTCGTTTTAATAATGAGTACATAGTAAGAAATAAAAAAACACAGAGAAATTATAAATCTACTTTGCTTGTTTTTGCATCTATTGAACTGTGCCCGAATTCACACGACTAGCTTTAAGTTTGTGTAGCAGTTTTTCATCACAGGTAGCAGTTTTTCATCACTCTTAAGAAGATTGTTATTATCATTATTTGAATTGTGTAATGAATCCTAATCCTTATTTCAGTAAATTGCATCAATCAATCATCATTTTAATTTAATGTTACTGACCGGAGGAATAACCTTTTTTGCCTACTGTGATTAACGAAAACGTCTTAATTAGATCAAATCATAAATTAAAAAGACATGCTTAAAGAAACAAATTTTATAAATGTGTAATGTTTGGTACGCATAGTATATATTCATTATTATATAACAGTCAGTCACTTATGCATTTTTTTAAAATTTTTTTAGATTAATTTAAATTTGCTAAATTGGTGAATTCATTTTCATGGTTTGGTTTTGCACTTGATTTACTTATGCTGTCTGAATTTAAATTATATTGTAGATCTTTAAATTTGCTTTTTACATACACATGTTTATATTTAAATTTAAATTTAAATTTCATTCCTTGCAGCAATGGCGCAAAGAATTAATTTAATTTGTATTTAAATTCAATTTATTCTTTTGAAACATTATTATATAACAATATGTATACGTGCGTATGTTCAGTAAGTTACCATGATTGAGAAAAGATTTGACAATGCTTTCTTCACTACCTAAAGGGGTGTGAAAACATGTCTTCCCTCTCTATAATCCTTTTTATTATTACGCTAATTTTCTAAAATTTACAACCTTTGAAATAATGGGCAGCATTTCAAGATGAAATTCAGTATGTCTGATCATTTGGTTGAGGGTTGGTTGATTATGGTTGTTTGAATATGAAAAACCACATGAAGGAATTCTGCCTAAGGGAAAGGATGCCTTCATGAAGAAGATTCTAAGGAAAAGTGGCTTGTATTTACATTACACACAGAGAAAACTCCGAAAACCAAGCATATAACTAGCCCGTTTGCTTGAGTTCGAACTACCAGTGTCCATCTATCTTAACCACTTAGACACTGGTGGGGCTCATTTGGTGAAGAGGATTTAAATACTTTTCGAAAGCTCAAAATCGTCTGAATTTTCTCCTCAATAACAGAACACCTTTTAACAGGTACTGAAAACACATTCAGTATTTCAAAGAGATTTTCGAAATCTTTTTAAAACAATAATCCACAAGTTACGCGTTTGCGCCTCTGATTTCAATACTTCAGTGACTGACTTCTAAATAACGTGTTATGTGAAATATATACTGGTCTCATAATAAAAGAAATTTTAATAAAATGCTTACTTTGTAATTTAAAAAGTAAATAAAAAGAAGTTTGTTCTTTCAAAAAACTTGTGTGCATGTCAAAATTTATATTTATCCCCAAGCCTGGCTTCGGCACTTCTCAGTTTTGGGATTACAAGATTATTACTTCCTCTAATACTGGAACGTAAGTCCTATAACCTAACAGATATGTAGCGAGCTATTTGAGATGTTTTGAGATTTCTGAGATGATTTTTGTTTTAAAACAGTCTTACGAAAGTTTTGAAACAACCTTTTTATTTAAACAAAACTTTGATCGTAAGGGCTACGAATTACCACAGCTTGTTGTGATGCAAATTAATAAAAACATCCAAATAAATTTTTAACTTTGATTAGTAAGCTAAGACTACACAGTTAAACGCTAAACTATAAGCTGACTAAATAAATCACTGGCGCGTCAGTTTGAAGTATCGGCAGCGAGAGAACGCATAGCCGAGATAGTTACATTTTAAACAGAGCTGGCAGAAACTAACCATGCAGCGCATATGCCAGAAACATTCTCTCGCTCAAGAACCAAAAACCTTAGCTTAATACACAGTGAACTAACTATCTGTCTTCTGGAAAAGATATGGAAAGAAAAAGTTATAGTACAAATTCAAATCATGATAACTGGTTAGTTTAAAATAAGAACTTTGCAAGGTGAATTCATAGTTCCACCCAGAGCGCACCGAAATCTCAGATAAGATGAGTTCCGCTACTTTCTCACATAAATGAATAGTAATATCAACACAAAATTCTGCATTTGCTGCAACATTTTATTTAGCAGCTAATAAAACTGATTTTGATACTAGGTAGAACGTCACATTTTATTTGGGGAAAACATAATGCCCAACAACACTCAAATGACCCAGGAAGAAAATCTCCAAATGTACTTTAAGAAAAGGCACTTTTTTAAGCACTACTCCTCTGGTCAAGAAGACTTTAAATGCATCAGATGCCAACATAAAGAGACAATTTTATGTGACTGCGAAGAATGCCATTCAAAATATTTATCGTCTTTGGTTTTTGATTTTATAACCTCTTATTATTCAGTTTCCCGCGTTATGTATTTTTTATTATTTCCTTTAATTTTGATGACACTTCTTTTAAAATTTATTTTTCTTATACATGCTTTTTATTTATTTTATTATTTTATTTAACTTTTTTAGTAGTTTAACTTAATTTTTAACCTATTTATTATTCAAGTAACGTAATTTCTTAAAATATTATACCTCATTAAATTTTAATTTAATTTAACAATATTTCAGTTCTTGCTTTATTTATTTTTCTTCATCACTTTTAACATAACTCATAGAGTCTTCCACGTGACTCCGACACCCGTTAGTTTACAAATTAAGTCTTGGTCCGTATTTCTATTACAAAAACTGCCTAAGCATCGATTCTAAAATATAATTAGCAAAAAATGTGCTTTGTATCATGTACAGACTGTTCGAAACAGTTAACTGCAGATTTTATTACAAAGTTTATTAAAATAAGGTATAGAATTTTATGGAAATAATACAACACTGCAAAGGGTTTTGAAATATATAATTCTTCTGTAAATTCTAATTAATAGAACATTAATTATATATTAATTAATTTTAAAAAATGTTCAGTTACCCACGTGAGCAAAATTGGGAAAAATAATGCTTAATAAACACTTTGAAGGGGACCTCGTATTTAAAATGTTATTTCATCAAAGACGAAACTTTTAATGGTAAAAACGAGAAACTTTCGTTTGGTAGCATATAAATCAATATAAACAAAAAAAAAAAAAAAAAAAAAAAAAAAAAAAAAAGAGAGAGAGGCTGTAAGTCATAGGTTTCTTTTTAAATAATATCAGTAAATTCTTCATATAAATATATTGTAACCTACAAACCTTTTTAACTAATTAAAACATTGTTTATATTTTACTTTACTCTACGGGGATTATATAAAAAAAATCTGATGTGTACACCACATGACTTCCTTGTAAGGAATATTAAATTATACGCATTTTTTCTTGCATTTCATTTAAACTTATTGGTTTGAAATAAATCTACTTCGACGACAGCGCATAAACCACAATAGTATAAATGCATTCTTTAAAATTCACTCTATTTGTTTACCAAAGTGACACTCTAACGCTAGGTTCACTTAGCACTATTATATTTCGTTCATATTATAACTCAGAATGCACAAAATTTATATCATTTAAAGAATTATCTAATCGTTGCCACATATTCTATTCAAGTACTATAATAAAGCTATAACGATGTATAAAAGAAATTAAGCTAATAAAACAAAAAGGAAACAGTTTCACAGACGATTGAGTATTTCTCATTCAATTAATTCAGCTCTGATTTCGCGACAAGGCAAAATTACATAAAAACTCAAAATATCTGTATTAAAAATTACGAAGTAAATCTTAATACTTATTTCCTCGAAAAAATTCCAGAAAGGATTAAGCATGATTTAATTCGCAATAATAAATGAAGGTGTTATCTTTGTTGTTGCGAAGCTAAGTTTCTCTAGATTGGCAACAAATCCACTATTACGCTGTTTCAAATGTAAACAAGCAATGCCGCCATCAAAAAAATCATTAGGCTTAGCGGCACTTAAACAACTTTAAAATTGTTGATAATTCTAAAAATATTGCATACAGATTTACTAAAGGCATAAAAACCTTAACCGGAAGATAAGAACAACATAATTCAATCATTTTGAAAGCAAAAAATGTACAATTTACAAACATACAAGAGTAAAAAAACCTGAGATCACTGAGTCGGGTAACAGAGTGGATATATATATGAATATATTTATATACGTTTGCAACCCAAATACGAGGTGCACATCTACATGTTATAGCAGTTCTATATACAAAATTTCAACGTTCTGAGGCTACTCGTTTTTGAGTTATGCGAGATACGTTTGTACAGACGCCACGAAAAATTCTCTTCAGAATTCATTTTAAAGCAGATTTATAATTTTTCTGGAGGAAAAGTCTTTTATTCTGTTCTTACGTACAGATATCGCGCAAAACCATCGTTAAATTTCATTCGATAGCGGTCAAAATGGATATTTTCGTTGAAATATGCTGCCTGAAACTTTTCGCGATTACAATACTTCCTTTTTACTTTGTACAAGGAAGTAGAAAAGTTATAGATTATATATTTGAAGAATTTTCGACAATTTAAAATATTTTCATAAAATGTTTTATCTTATTTGAGGAAATTGCAGCTTGAAACATATGCGAAGGATTTACACTTAAAATTTTACAAATTTACCAAATTCTGCGTGCCTAGATCTATGCTGTTGTCCAAATATTTAAAAAACTTTAAATCTTTGGATTATCTTGGATACTTTGCTTTAATAAGCCCAGCTAGGACTGAATAAGATAGTTTAGTTGATTCGAAATTCAGAACCCAACTGATTAAGTAATTAATTGGGCACTGTATTAAACAAGGGAATTTTCTACGAAAGCAGGTTTTCCTATAAGTAAATATTTAAATAGTTTTCCATTGTCTGAAGAAATAAAGTGGCTAATTTATATATATATTCCTAAAGTATTTGGAATTAGAGCAACAAAAGCATTTATACGGCTTATGTTTTGCTTATTTTATTCTAAATAGGATTCTTTGAATAGCTTTTCTCATAAGAGAATTATTTTTATGTAACTATTTAGAGGATGAAAAATGTAACAATTTTTATCCTGATTTATGTTATTTTGAAGATCAGCTTACACATAACTTTTAAGCCTGGCACCATAGCCTTCACGTTAACTAAATGATGTGCACATATGTTTGATCTCATGTTTATCAGCTGAACGGAACATTTTTAATTTTATTTATTATGAAAACAAGTATGTTAATCAAAATGTTATTCATTGATTTTGTTTATAATTATTAAAAAAGACTAAGCTCACGTAAATGTACTAGAGGAAAAATAGATGAAACAATTGACAGATTAAAAAAAAAACACACTACGAAACGAGTTTACAGTCTTAAACACAAGCCTTAAGTGACTAAGAAATTTAAAAATAATGTTTTAAAAAGGCATTACAACTTTGAAAAACAGTGTAGTTTTATAAAATATAAATTTTAACACAAAAAATTAAGGAATTATTTTAAACAAACATTCACTTAATAAATTCAGCTGTCTCTTACTTTCTCAATATCCTGTTTGACATGAGTATCTCCTTTCTGCAGAGCACTCTTTACTAAGTTTAAACGCAGGATTACGTCATCAAGACGCTTCTTCGTATCAGCAAGTTGATCGTAATAAGCACTATCTCCTTCGCTACAAGAAAATACACGAATTAAGGATATATTTTAAACAAAACTGACTATTTAAGCTCTGTTATTAGCTTAATTATGTGATATTTTCTTAAAACAGAGTGTTTGTTTCAATACGTACTACATAAAACAAAATATTTCTAACGAAAATATAATACAGTCTAAACTTATTATTACAAATTATTATTACAAAAATTACAAATTTTAACCAAAATGCTAATGTGTGTGTGTAATTATGGCAAAACCTCGAGGGCTATCTGCCTAAGGGAAGGGATGCCTTCGTGGAGGACTTTCTAAGGGAAACTGGCTCGTATACACGTTACACATGCGGAAAACCACGAAAAAACCCAAGCAGCCGGATTCGAACCTCCAGTGTTCAGAGACCGTTTGGCCGCTCCTGGGCCCCAAAATGCTAATGAATATATATATAGTAATTTATAAATCACTAGTTTCTTTACTTCCCCCCTGACTAATAGGGAATGAGTTAAAAAGGTCTTATAGAAGTGAAGCAAGTAATGCATAAATATTAATTTCAAAATTTTGCTTTTAGTATAATTTTAAAATGTTTCTCTTTTTGCATTTAATAAGAACTCTTAAATGCATTTCAAAGAAATTCAGCATCACAGAAAGAATCAAAATTACATTATTTTTTCAAGTTATTTTTCCAAAAGCAGTCTTGTAATTCTTTTCCAGCAGGCATCCAAGTAAAACAAAGATTACTGCACTTAAAATGGATTTTTGGCAGCCGTGTTACTTCGCACAATGGCAGCATTCAAAAGCCTTTCTCCTGTCTGGTCCAATCATTCAACTCTTCACTTCATTTTAGAGATATATTTGAAAAACATGTCCGAGGGAATAAACCGACTTCTCGAGAACTGAGAGGCGTGAAAGTCAAAATACAGAAGTAAAACGAAATTTAAAGAAACGTTTTAAGAAAAGCAGTAGAAAACGGACAGGAAAAATTAAGTTATTTGGGACGAAAAAGGTGGATTTTTTAAGAAATATGGGTCATAAATAAACTTAAAAGAAAATATGCTTTATATCCTTAATTTTGCACTTGTACTTATCTTTTTCAAAATTATTTTAAATTTAGATGATTGTTGAGTTTTGCCTCTCTGTATGTAACAGAATAACAATTAATAGTAAAACATAAATAGTGTCGGTAGCCTGTTGTAAGAGTGTTATCATTCTCTTCAACATGATTACAAATTATCTTTTTCAAAATAACAAAACAGGGAAATCAAATATGAAATGATAATGATAAAGATAATGAATATGATTTTTATTTTTTAAGAAAAATTCAACACACAATAAAAAATGTCGAATACACCTCGTAATATTAATATTTCAAAGTTGTTTAAGTTCTCCGTTCGATCTTTTTTTTTAATTCAATTTTAAATCCTACTAAAAGAATAAATGTAATTGAAAGAATCATTGGATTAAACATAATAAGCTAAACATAATCTTTTTGTAATAAAAGGTTTACTAAACTCCCCTTTTTTTAGTCCAAAAAGACGTTAGCCCAAATGGGCTGTTAGTCTCGAAAAGGGATTTTACGTTCAATCACTATAAATGGCTGTATCGCTTTTTAAATTGTTACTACCCATTAATATCGCTTTATATTATTTAAAAAAATTAAATAATGAAGAATCTGCATGTTTCTCGCATTGTGAAAAAATGACTGTAAAGACATCAAACTTTTAATAACGTAGTTCTTCACCTGAACATGTGCACCTGGAAGCCCGAATTTTATATTTCATATTTCACAAAAATCTAATGAATTTTTATTAACAAACTCAATAATTTGAAAGCGAGCAGTGGCAACACTGTATGTATAAAACATGTTTATCTCCAGGGCACAAGTCTGTCGAAAATTCTAAAATATACTGTTTTTAAATATTTTGTGATTTTGCTGCTGAGTTGAATTTTATGTGGCGTAATTACGAAAAGCATAATAAATAACGTTAACACACAAAACGTCAATAATATTATAATAAAAAAGTTTCGCAACCTATTTTACTAAAACAACTGAACATTGGTACGATAAACTGAGAAAAGCGGAAACAAATTAGAAAATGTATGCTAACACTTAACACTGCATCGAATATTCTAAACATGTTCTGGCATGCTGCTTTTAAATTTTTTGCACTTTTACTGTTGAATTGGGTATGGAGCAAGTGCGAAGAAAATGGTGCTTAATTATAAAGCTAAAAGTATAAAAAAAATGTGTTAGCAGGCGTGAGTACAATAGCAGACTGATAGACTGCGGGCTCAGAGAGAGAGTAAAAACCTTAACAAATCCGTTCGGATAATCGTAAAAATCTGAAATTATTTCGATTTTATTTTTTATTAATTATTTTTTCACTAATTAAATTTACCGAAACATTCCATGCAGTCAATTAAAAAAGCGGAGTGTAACAGGAATATTTAAAAAAATTTATTTACTCGTATATCAGATGAAGAAAACGAATTATTGTTGGATATTTACGTCGAATGAAATGCTTTGATACATTTTAAGAAAAAAAGCCAATGTCCTGTTTCTCACCTTCAAAATTTATTATGCGCCTGTGTTCTTGTTCAATCTTTTTAAATAATAACAAAAATTAAATTTCGCCAATTTTTGTCTTTTATATCAAAAAACGAAGCAAATCCAAGAATGGAATATTACCTTCCTAATAATTATTAATAATTAATTTATTTCACTAACAATGCTTTGAAACTAACAGAAATATTAAAAAGAACACATCGAAATTTACTGCTAAGTCGAAATCGATATAGCTTTTTAAACAAGGTTTTTCTAAAAGGCTAAGAGAATGTCAATAGGATGGTAATGCCAATGTTTTTCGTTGTAATTTTATAAGGCTGCAGTCAGCTATAAAATCTTAAACACATACTAATTTTAGTAAAATCCTACTTAATGGTTTCATTATTCAAATAGCTTTCCGTTTACCATTAGGTTACATAAATATATTAATGGAAGTAGAGAATATAGTAAAAAATACTTTTTTTTTACAAATCACAAACATTCTTCTGTATTAGATATAGTAGAGAATATAGTAAAAAATACTTTTTTTTTACAAATCACAAACATTCTTCTGTATTCAAAGTTATTGTTAAATTTATGACCTTACTAAGAACAAAGTACATTAATAACTTTTAATTTATGTTCAGATTTTGCCATAAACCACGTAAATTAGTATATAAATAGAAAATAAAACTTAAAAAATCCCACTATCTTAATAAATAAAAAAAAATCTTGCTTTTTTAAAAAAAAACTGTTTTTTGTTGAGTAACAGAAAAGGTCATAGATAACTACTAGAGTTAGCTCAATTTCAAAACACTAGAACTCAAAAAGAATTAAACAAAAACTCACACTCTCATTCTGAGCTAGAGCAAGTATCACGACAGTTGTGTGTATTGCTTTACGTTCTTCAATAAGATACGAATCTCCACGAACTGAGACGTTAAATAACCATAGGTTATTAAATTGCACCAGTCCAGCGCAATATTGACTGAATCATTGCGAGGCAAACAATGATCACAGGAAAGTATATTTACCTTGGTATATCTTCTGGCTCTGATTCTTCTTCTAGAACAGTCAGAATCGGCACTACGCCCATCGCAGATAACTGGTACATGGCCGCATCTGGATCTTCATCTTCAGGAATTTCATATAAAATACCTTCAATGCTATCGATAGCTAGATGGACAGTAAAGTAAAAACTTCAGTTACAGACAAAATTTTAAACAAAATACGGCTTAATCCTCCAGGTTCCACTTTAGTAGCTAAAGAGGGCATTCTGAAACTCGAGTTATTAACTAATAGTCTTTGTTACTAACGCACTTTTTGAAGTTAAGTAACAATAAATTTAATAATTACTAAGAAGTTCATAACACGTCAGAGGGATGATGAGAGCCCACCAGAAAGAATAAATCATTTTTTCTTTATTGTTGCTTATAACAGAAATGTTACTGGTACACGTGGATGAGATATTTTTCTTTAACCATTGACGGGCCCTCAGCCAGCTTCGGCGTGACTACTACTAATGCCAGAAGTGGTGGTCACTTTATTATGGAGACACCCAATAGGTGGGCCCCCTTTGTCTACTATGAGGAGACGAACAGTTACAACAATGCCTTCTCCGGGATTCAAACCTAGGCCCTCTGGTATCGCGTTCGGCTCCCGTAGCCACTATACCGTCTGGGCGGTTAGGATGATCAAGCAGATCAAAATTGTATCATATAAATTCTAAATAGAAATAAAACTAACTAGCAGAAAATCATACAAATGTTTTGTTTTACAAATCAAGGTATTTCATGTTATTTATCATGCAGTAAAGCAAAGCTGTAACCATTTAAATGAAATTGTATTGAAAATAAATTCTCAGTGTATATATTTTGTCAATCATACCTGGTATAAAATGGAATATAAGATCCAAAAGCAAAATATTTCTTTAAAACAGAAATTAGAATTCATAATGAAAATCAAGTAGGAAAGAAAAAGTACTCCAGAATTAACAAAAATTTTCTCTGAACCTACCCTGAAAAAGATTAAATCATAGTTTTGGAAACTAATTAGAAAAAACTTTAAACATTATTATTATTATTATTATTGTTGTTGTTTAATAGAGCAGAAAGTGTCCCATCACTTTGTGACATTATTTTCCCGTCCAAAAGAGGAAACATTAATATTTATCGTATATATTTTGTTTTGGGGGAAATATTGTTGTAAATACCTGATTGTATTTTTGTTTTCCTGTATTGTTGTGAGGTTTTGTATTGTTTTGTTTATTTTATATTGATAATTTTTTGTTTATTTTTCATTTAATTTAATTGGCTTGAATCTATGCGTTTATTGTTATATAGAATAATAGATATTTTCATTCTGAGTGCAATAGAGATTAAAATTGTAAGAATAGTTCAGTTAGAACCCGAAAGATAAGCAATTTCGTTCCCGACTGGCCTTGCCGAAAATTTTATTGTAAGTTTGGCGACTTTCTGGAATATTCGCGAAAATAGCATTTAAGATTCATAACATTGTTTTTGGGAATCGAATGAGACTTTGTATTAATTTTTAAGAAAAGAAAAAGAGAGAAGGAGAAAGAAAAAGAAAGAATGACCTAACTTTTAAAAGTAACAAAGTATAAGCTGACGGATAACTCTGAAATTTCTAATAGAAATTGTAAGAAATTCTAAGAATTCTAAAATGCTTTTAAGAACCTTAAGAAGAACCTTATATAGAAATTCTAAAAATTGTCTACAAGAATTAAAAAAATCCTATCCTTTCATTTTACACTATTTAATTTTTTAGCTCCTCTTAGAAGAAAATATTTTATCAACGATTTCCAGAAAATATGGAGATATATATTTTAGCTTCGTAAATAAATGTGGCAAGTTTTAAAATTGCCCCTTCTTTCAAAAATATTTTTATCTTTTACAAAGACCGTGCTTTTAACAAACACAAAAGAGAAATTTGAATCTCTCTTGGTAGAGACTGCTCTAATACTAATTGCCTAATATTATATGTTATCAGAATTAAATATACGTAACTTAAAAATATCGCAAGATTTATACCCGCATGGAAATTACAGAATGACTTCTATTTTATTTAAAACTTTAATTTCCTAAATATTACATTTATGTCAATATCACAAATACTAATTTGATAGCTAAATTAATTTTGGAACGTTAATGGGATACGTAAGAAAAATCTATATGTATTTTCTGTCAACCGTGAGATGTCGTTAAATAATTTAAAGCTTATACTTTCTATTATTCCAAAATAAACCATAAAGAGCACTGAAAAATAGGATTGATGACATATCTTTGTTTCAATTCACTTTTTTATTGAATATTTCTAAATTTAATCCCGATAGAGTTGCTTCTAGAAATCTTATTATATTATTGAAGGCAGAATATCTGTATTCTAAAGAAATATTAAATTAAAGAGGAAGTTCAAATTGTTTCCTTTCGTTTACTAGAACGATTTTTAATTATAAAAACTGTCTTAAATCTATAAAACAACTTTTTAAATTCTAATTTTTTTTCTCAAAATTGATTCACAAGAATAAATATGAGAGACAATTTTTACTATAGTAATTGACAAAATTCAAGCATCTTTTGGTCTTTAAGTTCAATTACATTTCATTAAATGCTTATTAATGCGTTACAAGCGAGATGAAGGAAATTAAATCCTGTTCAGGAGGATAAATATATGATTTATTAGCTTCCTGGTGCTTGGAACCAGGAACGTGACGAGCCTATAGACGGTATGTTAAAATTAATGCCAAAAGTATGCTGAACTTCTGGCATTAATTTCAGAAAGTTGGTATTCCATCATTTCCAAGAATTTTGGAATGAAAATGAATTTTGAACTAAGGCAGCATAAAAGTCGAAGGAGCAACTGGAAAACAATAAGGAGGGGGTTAGTCCGGCCTCGACGGCCCATTTTTTTTTCGGAGAGTATTTTTCATGAAAGGCAAAACTTTATATCGATTAGTCACGAATCATAGAAGTGGAAAGAATTATGAGGTAACAATTATCTTTAAAAACTGATTTCAGGATGGGAAGGATTTACACTCGACAGAGCATTCGAAGAAATCACATTTTAAGTCCTTACTAGGTCTTCCATCGAATGATATATGCTATTCTGCAGAAGTTTTTGAATGAAAAATAAGAATGTTAATTTAATTATGGTCACGACGGCAGAATTCCTGGTAGAAAGAAATGCTTCAGAATTTTGTTTCTTTTCCTGCTAATGAAGAAAAAATAGATAAGTGGAAATTAATTCCTTTGAAATTTTACAAATGATTCCCACATCAAGCTGCATATTTGAATGCATGTAAGTTTTCTAATAATGTAATTTTAACCTTAAACTTTCCACATAATTATTGCCAATGTTACTACTTCGAGTTTTTCTAAATAAAGTTTAGTTAGATTCGAGTTTTTCTAAATAAAGACCGATTAAGAACGTATTTAAGACCTAAAAACGAGCACCTTGTTATTAAGAAATCTTACTGTACTGAGGCCAGACTTCTGTAAGCACATTCGATGCGTATTCGGGAGGTCCGCAATTCGAATCCCGGTGACGGCTGTGCTTATATTTCACGTGTCGAGCAACAAAAAACCCTAATAACTGTACAGTGGGTCCCAAACTAAAAGGTGGTGAAAGATAATTCGTTCCCAGCAGGATTTGACGACTAGGTCTCCTCATCCCCAGTCTCCCTCTATAAGGGATTTTCTCCCCTTTCCACATGATTTCGTGGTGTAACTGGAAGCACACTCGACGCGCATTCGAATCCCAGAGAGGCGCAGCGCACTTTTCACGTCTCTTGCTTCAAAAAAAAAAAAAAAAAAAAAAAACCCTTATGACTGTACAAAAGTTTACAAAAAAAAAAAAAAAAAAAAAGAAGAAGAAGGAAAGTTTTCGTTTCTTTCCTATGTAAAGTAATGTGCATCTTTGAACAACTTTTATAATATAAATCTGCAAAATGATTCTCAAAATATCAGAAATCAGGAGCATTTCTAAATTTGTTAAAATTATTATTCCAAAGCGCCATTTTACTAGTATTTCTAAAGATACTCTTTGAATAATGGCATAGAATCACTGTTAATGCTGTAGGTCGAGTCAGAGATCTGGATTAACCATTAAGCAAAATAAGCACGTTCTTAACATTAAGATAAAGGAAGCACCATAGAAAGTTACTCAGACCAAGAAGAGAGAGCATCACAAAATATTTTTATTGCTGGATTTACAGTGGGATGCTTGGTGCAGCTAAATCAAGACAGAGAGAAAAGAAATGGAAGACTGTAAATGTATTGTGGGAGCACCGAAACATTCAAAGTGCTTTGCACCAAGTCTTCATTCGGCAGTGTGTCGAGTGTTAAAATAGAAACAGTTTTCGTAACTGCAAGAACCAGAATAAGCTAACAAAGGTTATAAATTTCATGGGAGATATTTTCTGGTTTTTGTAGAAATTCTCCCACTTTTTGCTACCTTTTCTGACGTTCTGCACAAGGCTACAGCTATATGTCATTATTTTCTGTTAAAAGATGTCTGAATTTGAAAACTGGGATTTTTTACTTCTGATACGCAATAATTGCGACGATATTCAGTCTGTGAAATTATGCTTTTGGAGTTACCTTCTTTCAAAGTAACTACGATTATTATTTTCTTTTATTCCGAGCTTGTAAATAATTAACTTTTCGATATATTTAGCAATCTTCCAGATTGGAATGGTGTAGTCACTAAGATGGTTGTGCATGGGGCACTATCTTAATCGAATAATTTTTTTTTTTTTTTTCAAATCATGCCTCTTTTAAGAATGTTCATTATGGTAAGTTCTTAAGTCCAAAAATTTAGAAGTTTTCCCAGGATTTATATTTTGATAGCATACATGAAAAATAAAATCAAGGACGACAATTAATAATTGTATTGATGAATATATATACATGTATTAACCAAAGAATCTGAAAGCAGAGATTTTGTTGCCAAAAAAGTAAATTTACAATTTTCGAAAGCAGATGCTTTTGAGCAATATTTTCCTGCTACTTCCTCTCTGACATGAGCGTAATTCTCAATTACAATAATAACAGCCTGAGCAGTTATGATTACTGCAAAAGTTTCTGTTATTTAAATGAACGTGTATCATAATTTCTTTTCGTAAAATATTTTGTGGCATCTAATGCAGTCGGTTTGCAATTTCTAATGGATTTCTTGTCTATCTCATACAATAAAACAAAAGGACTTATTCCATTTTATGAAAACAAATTACCTTTATTTGAAAAGATTATGATAAGAATATATTTATAGCATATTATTCAACAGGTACTATATAGCAAGGGCCTAGCTTAATTCATGCCTTACACCCATGTCTCATGCGTTATGACGCATATAAATATAAGTTAGGTATATAAATATACAGACAGTCAATTACTTAATTTTTTGCAATTCTTAAAGTTCAGGTTCTTCAGGTAGCTTTCGTCTATTAATATTTAATAACATTCTTTTATGGCGTCAGAAACATTCACGAGTGGCCAATCTGATCTGCCACTGCATTTTCTTGAAATTAAAGACCCACATTTTTTTTTACTTAAGCAACATCATGGAACTAATTAAAATTAAAGAACTAGTCTAAAAGCAAATCAACGCACAACAGCAAAAATTGTATCGCTATGTATAAGCAGTGCATTTTACTTTATTGTTGACCTTAACACTGATATATGCATCAGAATTAAATATAATTTATAGTTTTATAAATCTAATTTAGATTTTTTTCATTATTTTGGCTTTTACTATTTAAATATAACTGGCATTTTAATAAAAACGAATTTTAAATTCAATGAAAAAATAATGCTTATAAATTATTAACATAACAAAAAATAAATAACAAATAAAATTTAAGCCGCCTTTGCAATATTTATTTTAAAGTAGCATTTTATTTCTACATTCATTCTGTCCTATACTTCTGTCTCTTACGTCAGCCTTACCAGAAGTGTAGGGTTTTAGCTCTTTGACTACTAGCGACCAGCAAAGCTGCTTTTCTGTATTGCTAACCACACTTTGGTTCTGTAGGCTGGCTCATGTAATTTCGGCAAGCAGTTAAACATAAATATTAATAACTTCAAAAGAATTGTTAATATTTATGATGAGAAATCGTGCATATTTAGGAGCCTTATAGCTGGATATTTAATTTACTGTCTGTATTATGCATATTTTAGTGTTTTGTATTTTCAGACTTCTCAAACTGTTATACTTTCTTACTTCCATCTAACATCCGAAATGCAAACAAACTTTTAATTTGATTTTACACTTTTTGTATTCATTAGTGCCATAGACTTAAAAGTACAAGGACGGTAAGTCATCTAACGACATAAAAAAGCTAAACACGTTCACATTTAAAAAGCAAATTATATTTAATCTTACAACTTTATTTTTGCATACACTTTCGCGGTTGAAATTTTTTATAAATTTTAAACTATCTGTTTATTGATTTTTTACAAGATTCTGTGTTTCAGTAATGCATAGGTAAGAAAACAATTATTTTTTAAACGTGTAAAACTTACCGTACACCAGAGACTCAGGATACGGTTCGGCAAAAGACAAAATGGGTAAAAACAATAAACCGATAAATAGAATCATATCTGAAAAAGAGAAATTTATGCAGTATTAATAAACGTTTTAATAAATATTATTCGAAAGATTTTTTTATTTTTCTTTAGACATATATATATAGAGAGAGAACGATTTCTTCAAAAAATATTATTTTATTATATTTTTAGTATTCTGCATTCTTTTGATTATAAATTTATAAACAATAAGCAATCAGTCATAAATGGTTTTACAATAATTAAAAGAAAGTTTTAACTGATTTTATGAAATACTTTATATTCAACGGCTTCTCGAATTTAGCTCTAAAATAATTTCTTGTTGAAAGCTTATTCATAAATTTAGCCATTTTTCCCAAACTAATTAAACATTTTAAGAGCATTTCTCTATGATATTTTATTTTTGCAACGATATTTTATTGTTTGCCTTTTTATATAAATTTTAAGTTTACTTTTATTTAATGTTATTTACGATACTTATTGTTATTTAAGATATCCAGTAGCTTTGAGAAATCATTGAAAGCTGTAATTCTGTAAAATACGAAAGATTAAAATTAAATAAAAAAAACTGCTTAAAAAATAAAAAAAGAAAGTAAGATCAGAAAATGTAAAGAAAGAAAGAAAAGGGATGAACTCGTTTATTTCATTTCCACACTAAAGATATTCCAGACATCCTATGACCATCTCTTAGACTTTAAGAGCCGAAATATCTAACTAAAGATATCAAATTATGAGTGTTTTTATCAAGGCATTCCAATTATATCCTGTCACTCTCAGTTAGAGGGTTTTGATAACATGGAGTTATTGAGACATTATTCAGGACTCAACATGTAAATTTTACGCGTTGCGTTTAAGAGTAGCTTAAAGTAGGGTACTGAAGAGTAGCTTAGCTTAAAGGGGGGCAGTCTGCCCGAGTGGCACATCTGAGGGTGACATTATTCATGCAAAACATAATTTTATAGGGTCTAATATCATGTGGATCATCGAGGCAGGTGAAGGAAAACAAGATTATGAATTGCCATACGAAATCGAGGAAGGAAAAAAAATTCTATTTTTACACTAGATTATAAGCCTTTAAAGAAATCATTATAAGATTTCAACAGCTATATATTCTTGTAACACCTTTTTTTATTCGTCCGAATCTTGACTCCCCATATGAAAAATACAAATATCAACTAAGTTATGATCACTGTGACTTGATCTTGAAATTAACAAGGAAACACTCCTGATTAAGAGAAAAATAATTCGAGTTTTATTTTCGTTATTGCTGGGGAAAACGAAACACAGACATGGAAAGCAATCGTTTTTAACTCCGCAGTTTATTCTTAAATATAATCTCCAAAAATATCATAATATCAAAGCGAACTTTGTTCCTGACTGCTGTAAATCTTGCAAGTTGGGAGAAAATATCAATCATTTAAGTATTTATTACCTATAAATGCTCCTTTTGTATTTAAGAAATATGTCTGTACTACATAACACCAAATAATGCAGTCCCCGACGGTTTTATGAATAAAAAACAAGAAAAACAATAGTACAATTTTAAATTGTTGGAATTAAAGTTTTGTTTCAAAAATTAACGTAAAGGTTTTAATTTTTTTCCTATATGTCATTTTGACATTTTTTAGTTATTAGTTTAACTTCTGAACAAGAGAAGTCGAAAATTCAAGGACCCCTCCAAACACCAAATACAGGGACCGCCCCGGGCGGAAAAATCTCTAGCTATATACCTGCGCAGCATTCATTTTTCTGAGTGCTTTTAAGTGTAACCAGTATTTAGTGTTATACTAAACATGTGATGCATATTTTCAAGAAAAATATTATTTGACTTTAAGCATATCTCCTTCTAAAAAATAATATTTTAAAATAACTGATTTTGAATCCATAACTAAAAGAAACTACATTATTAAATTTAGAACCTGCAAAAGAACTAAAAATAAATTAAATATTTAAAACTATAAAAGAGATTTGTGGAATTATTAAGAAATTTTGGAGTAATTCATTCCTTTCAACTGCATTTCCTCTTATTGATCTTGATAAGAAAAAAGTACGACTAAATCAGTGTTATAATCTGACTGCTAAATATTGGTGCTATAAAAAATGCATGATTGAAGATTGGTGCAAACATGTTAATAAAAATTAGTATAAGATTTTATGCAACTATCTTTGTTATTCATTTCTCATTCCTGTTAAACATTCACTATAGTCTTTTGCTTTGTGTATAACTCTGAATGTAACTCCAGTTTTGGAATTAATATTTTATGAATTACAAAAATATGATAGTCTTTTTTTTACGACTTAATTTCGTAAGGCTTATTTTCTTCATGTACTAACTCTTTCTTTTGGTGCTTCTGTCCAATAATAGAAGAATACATTTTTCTGTAGAAAATAGGAGAATAAGCAGAAAATATGCATTATGTATTTCATATACACTGTTGAATTTTTACATCAATCTTGAAATATTTATGATTAATTACAGACCAATATACTTAAAATAATTAGGAAATTGCTACAAAATATATTTTTTAAATTGTTGAAGCAGCAGTTAAGTAAATGAAATAAATTTTTAAATATCGAAATACAATTAAAAGAATATCAACCCGTAATAATATATATATATATATATATATATTTATAAAGAAGAAAGTCAATGTATTTGTCCTCTAATAACTCAGTCACTACTATAGCTATCGTCACCAAACTTTTTACATTTCTTTCCTGGGTCCTGGAAAATGTAGATGCCCACTTCCCCCCCCAAAAAAAAGCTAAAATCAGAGATATTAATTCAAAACTCGGAAAAACGATAATTTTCGCACTCATGTTTCTGAGTGGCAACAGTGTTGCGCGTTGGAGATAAAAAAAATTTTTCCCCCCGAAAAGTGTTGCTACTGCTCGCTTTCAAATCGTAGAGTTTTTATTATTATTATTATTATTTTATTTATTTATTTAAGAAAAAGAAATCCTCGTCCATTACAAAGTATCACACGAGACTTACAAATCGTAAGTAAAAAAAGGCCAAATTGTAAGTAATAACATCAATTTTCAATAATACAATGAATTTATACACAAAGAAAAAACACACCCACGCAAAAAAAAAAAAAAAAAAAAAAGTAAATACAAAAGTATAAAGAAATCGTAGAATTTGTTAATCAAAAATCTGTATATTTTACAAAATCTATACATATAAAGAAGAATGTCTATTTGTGTGTTTGTTCGCGTTATTGATTTCTGATCAATTATGATAAATTTTTTACCACATTTAATCGACTAAAATTGAATATAGGTGAAATATTGAATGGACCGTGAAGTTTTACAGTCATTTGATTAGAAAGACGAAAATCATTAAAAACTGCATGCCATTGCTGCTAATACTATAATGAGAGAGAATAAGCTTATTTTCATATCGAAATTTTTATGGGGATTCCATATCGCAACAGATTGAAAAACGTATGACTATGAATCGTATTTTTTGCATCGTTATTAGAGAAGGATTACAGCGGTATCGTTCTCTCTGTTGTTACATACATACCTCTCAATCTAACTTTACCGGCATAGGGTACTTCAGCTAGTTATTAAACAAAATAATGTTTAGTTGTGAATACTATGAGTTGGAAATACTGAAAAAATTATTGTTGCCACTTAAATAGAAAAGAATTGTTATGTTTTATGAAAATGTTATGTTTTATTATTAATTGTAAGTTACGCTTTATGGAACTTCTTATTTTTTGATGATGCTAAAACTAGAGGAATTAAAAATAATTAAATTCAAAATTCAGAATCATTAATTAATGTTTATTTAATGAAGCTCTGGAAATTAGATTTATGAAAGTTCAGAATAAATGAATTTCACTAGTGAAACTATGTATGTGAACTAGTTTTGGGTTTAGAAAAAGCGTATCTTAAAATAATTGCATTTTTAGTCTAAATAGTTCTTAATGGAATATAAGTTTTTAAAAAAATTATAAAATTCAAGCTTAGTTGGACACAAACTAATTAAGTTAATTAAAGCGATTTTCGAAAAAGTGTACAATTTCTGCTAAAAACATAAGTGATGCATTTTTAGCTTTTAAGTGACATTATATCTTGCTAAGAGCTTTCAGTGGAAAGTGTTTAAGTAAGTATAAAAAATATCAGGAAAGAAAGTAGAATGAATAAAAGACACTTACTTATTGCTGGTTATGTTGCAAAAGTATCTCAAATTAGTTCGTTAAGTTTTCCTCGAAAATATGTTTATTTCTTCAATGTGTAACGTTCGTTGCACGTTAATGTTCTATACTGAATCAGAATCACATATTGGTGACTAAAATGCCGTCATGAACGAATGATTATTTGCTTTTAACAGGTGCAAGACACCTATAAAATGGTCTTAGGTTCTCTGTAAACAATGTATTTCGATAAATTGCTTTTTGAAGAAAATTGGATGAAATCTTTACATGCGATTTTTATCAGTTTTCTTTTTAATCGTTAATATCTAAAATAGAAATTGCAACTTTTATGTGCAAGCCATGATTCATTTATTTGAAAATGTGACTTGAACATTTTTTAAAGCTGTTTCGTTTTTACTGAAGATGACTCATGCAAGGCCTTTTAAAACATATGCTTCATTCTAATTCTAAACTTGATTTAAAACCTTTAGTATATTTCTCCCTCCTTGCAGTTATGTAGCTAATTGTAATTTCTTTTCATTTGCGGAAAGTATGGCAAATTTCTGTATTCCGTCATTTTATGAATCTAATACTACCATTTTTGCTTTGATATTTGTTAACGTGCAATTGCGCAATTCCAGACACCTGCGCTATAAAACTGCGAAATATTACAGCTGTTAAGTTTTAGGTTACCATTAAATTTTACCTCAGATTTGTTTAAGCGGAATGTGTAATTTTTGATTTTATAAACATTTACACTCTAGGGTTTCAATATTTTGTTCTGCGTTACCTTAAGTTAAAAAATCGCTATGCTCTCAAATCAACAAAACTGCGACAAAATTTTTCTTTATTGGCCGAAGGGCATGCGGAAAAGAAAGATGCATTAAGCTAAATAAAAATAAATAAATAAATAAATTAGGAAATCAAAATTTTTTTAAAGAAAATACATGTATATGTTACTGTATTATTTTAAGTTATAGGGTTTGTTTTTGTTTTGCTTTTCTTTCTTTCTTTCTTTTTTCTTTGCGAAGGGGGAAAGGAAGAATTTACGAACTTATTAAATAGAAATATGGAAGTTTCATAGTATTATATCATAAGTTACTACTCTCTATATAATTTGTTTAATAAGTAAAGCTTATTCTGTTTTTTTTTTTTTTTTAATGCAACCTACTATGTGTTTTTATACTCATAAATATCTAAGGAAAAATCCCAACTTTCATTTGCAGTAGTCTCTTCGTATAGGCCTTTTCGAACTTTTTGAAGCCACGAAACCGAAGAAATTGAGCAGTGTCTTCTGTGGGACTCGAACTCCGGACTCTTTTGATGTTAGACGGATGTGCTTTCCAGTTACACCATGAAGGTACGTGATCAGGAGGAAGAAAAACTTTATACCTTAACTCATCTATTTTAATTTGATTATTTCCCACTTGTGTCCTAAAAATAGTAATTGCCTGTAATAAACCTCTCTAAACTGTGTTAGTTCGGAATTAATTGCACTCATATGATTATGGCATAATGCTGAAAGCACTTACATGGTCTTCAGCCTATGATAACGCAGGCACTTAAATGGCTCTTAATTTAGGAGCCAAAACGTTTTACTAACCAATAGCAATAAAATGTGAACTGAAACTAAATCGCTCTGAATCCAAATTTCCTTTCGGAAAGATCGCATTATATTTCTCGCATCTTCCTGCCAACCTGCTTACGACTGCTATCACTACTATACTTGTTTTCGAATAACTTTTCAAAAATCTATAAGATACCGATGCTGTGCTTCATAAATATGCCTTTTACTTCGTGCATTTGCGTCAACTTATTTGTGGTTGCATTTGTCCACAATAAAAGAAATGTTCCCTTGGCCTCAATGAACGCTAATATCTTTAGGCATCAGCATCTAAATCATTACATATATACATAAAACCTAATGAGTATTTACAAACGAATTAAGTAGAATATAGCTTCATTTATACTGTTCCAGTTACGTTCACTTCTCTTCCCTTGGATCATGATCAGACGAATGGTCTTGATTTTTTGCGAACGTTTGGACACAGATGTTCCCAGAAAAGGCTCAGTGCACCTTTTCCCCTTCTCTTGGGTTCTGAACCCACCAATAACCGAGTAGATAAAACTACTGAACACTGGACATTCGCTTCGGGTTCAAATCCAGATATACGATTAGATTTTTTGTTGTTATCCCACGTATAATATAAATACGAGCCAGTTCCTGTGATGAAATCTTCCAGCTATGTTTCGTCTTAATCGATTAATCGATTAGCTATTTCCCTCCTACTTGCTTTCGATTTTTCAATCTTCTCTTTACATATGCGTTTAAATTCCTACTGTTATGGGTCACAAAAATTATTTTCAGGCATATTTGGGAAAGTGACTGCAGAATAATATAAGTTATCAACAAAGCAGCCCCACGACAGCCTTGATGACAGGCCAAGGGAAATATGGAGTCAGGTTCTACAGGAGCAAACCTGTTGCAAGGAGTTCTGTAGCGTGATTAACGCTACACTGAGAACATGTTCGTCTCAGAGAAATTCTTAATACTCATTGAATGAAAATTGATAGGGCTCATATTGGTAGATCCCGATTGAGTATCGAGATATTGAGGGAGAAGTTAGAGTTCATTTAATGAAAAGAAAAAATGAAATAGATTTTTTTAAATAAATATGATAATATAAATGAAATTCAGAGAATTTTACTTCGCAAGTGGAGGGCAGCAATGATGCACAATGGAACTGGTTTGGTTAGAAAGGAAAAATAAAAACTTGGTACTTAGAGAGGAAGAGTAAACTAATCGGTATGTTGTCTTCAAATTAGGATTATTAACTTTAACGGCAACAAAAAAAAAAAAAAAAAAAAAAAAAAAAAAAAAAAATGTAATGCAATACAATGAAAAAATTTCATATAAGTTATTATTTTTTTAGGCCCTTTACAGTACTAAAGATCGAAAGAAGGAATAATTTTCAATGCTTAAATTTTAAAAAAAATTAATTTTTAACCCAAAAGGCTATTAATCTCGTAAGACGATTCTGCGTTGATTCACTTTAAAGGCGTGCATCAATTTTAATTCGCGTCTCGTACTATTTAGCAAAGTGTAAAATATTTAACTCGAAAATTTAATTTGTCGGTTATTAAGAAAGAACATACCAAAGTAAAACATAAAATTAGACAAAGAGATAGCCTTTAATTTTGAATAACGTAATCCTCCACCGAATATGGGCATCTAGAAGTCCTAATTTCGAATTTGTTTTTTTATCGATTTCATACATTGCAATACTTTAACAAATTTTTTATTAACAAACTCAACGATTTCAAAGCGAGCAATGACAATACTGTACGAAAAAAAAATTATTTCCAGCTACGGTTTAAGTGCGAAGAACATGATATTTAATAAATAAAGGAAACATTAAAAGCGTTAAAAAACGCCCCTTTGGGCTTAATGTAAAATCTGAAAGCTTTCAAGTTTATTATTATTATTTCATTTTTAATCTGATTCATTTAAAAAGTGCATTTAATTCATGATACATCTAATTAAACCCTGTCAGTATTTTAATCGAACTACGCCATATATTTTTTCGCTTTTCAAATAAGCAGAAAGTAATTATTTTCCCTTGTTAATCTAAATGTATATTCATCTAATCTCTATAAAATACTTCGGCATACCAACTGGGACATCTCTATTACTCATCTATACTGATAAATCGGTAATGATGTAGTATGCGATCTACCGCTCTTTCTTTGCTATTTACGTTTTAGATGGTGGCTCTAAAATAGGATATTATTTTAATCATTTGTTTAAAGGGATTTTGTCCTTGAAGGACTATTGTTTTAGTTTTGCGATTTTGCGTTGAATCTCTATAAACGGCGAATCACTTTTCAAACTTTTGCCACCAAATGTTAGTTAGAGTCCTGCAAGATATTTGAAGAAATTAAATAATGAAAAATCTGCATAAATATATGTATATTTATGGCATTGTGATAAAACAACTGTATATGGAGTCATCGAATTTTGAATGACGTAATCCTCTTACGAATATGGGCATGTGGAAGACCAAATTTGAAATTTGGAATGTGTTTTATTATCGATTTCATATTTTGTAAAACTTTAACGAATTTTTGAGTAACAAACTCAACAATTTAAAAGCGAGCAATGGCAACACTCTACCGGGGGGAAAAAAAGCCTTTTTATGTCCAGCGCGCGGAACTCTGCATCGGAAATTCTAAAGATATGCTCATTTTAAAATTATTTTGCGACATTGCTGTTGAACTGAATTTTATGGTTTAAGCGCAAAGAACATTATATTTAACAAATGAAGGTAACACACAGAACGTTAAAAAAACGCCCCTTTGGACGTAATTTACAATCTGAAACCTTTCAGTTTTTTCCCCCCTTATTTCGCCATTTTATAGAGATGTCATATGAGACATTAATAACTAAAAGCGATAGATCGCATGGTTATCGACATACCGTATTAAACTTTAAAAAAACCTATTTGGGCGACTGTTAAAATCTGAACTCTTCCAGTTTCTTTTAATTTATGCTGACTGTTAGAAACTTTGAATTGACTCTAACATATCTGCTTATATTTCAAGAAATAAAAACCTTTTGTTACGTATATGCTAGATGATGAAATTGAATGTAATATACATACTGTATACTCTCGATAATGCGGGGGAAGCAGTTTACGGATAGCTGAAAAATCACTGTTAATCCAAGCTATCAATTTTCATGCATATTGTAGTTTATTGCTTTAAAATATTCAGTTTCCTCAGAAGTCATTGCTGCCTCGGGACTATGTAATTGTTATTAGCTTCTTCACTTGTAATTTCGGTATCATTCTCTGCCTCTTCTGTTCTTACGGCATTTGAAAGGATATCCGCATCTCAAGCATTGAAAGCCAGGCTGATTTGAATCGCCATCGAATTATTCCTGGATGTTGTGCTGATCGACAGTTTAGAAGAATATTACATTTTCAGTTTTTTGGCTTACAGCTTCCTCAACTTCATCCCAATAAAGTAAATCTTCGATTACTGTGTTAGGAAAATCTTTCTCCATAATAGAATCAGTGTTACTGGTTTTACTTACTTTCGGCCAAACGTTTGCTATCCCATATATGGTATCCAATT